CAGCACACAGTTAACTCCTCCCACCTGGTGGGGGTTTCAGTGTCTGCAAAACAGCTCAGAGGACGTGGCTCAGAATATGATGTACAGCCCCCGAGGGGGGATCTCAGGGTCCTTGACTTTGCCTGCCGGCTAAGCTATGATTATTTTGTCTCGCTTGACTGTTTCCCTTGTGTCTGCATTTTCCCACGTCTGTAGTTAAACATGTTGGAACTCGGGGGAAGCCTGCGAGGCTAGAGGTTTTCTGCACACAGGAGGCGGGGCGCTGGAGGCGCCTGTCCTGGGCAGGCCCCCCCGGCTCCGGCCGCGCTGCAGTGTCCGCGTGTCGTGCGCTCCCGTCCTCGTGTGCGGGAAGCGGGTCGTCCCCCGACCCCACGCTCCCAGAGACAACGTGCCTTTTACCCTTTGAAACAGGAGGGGGCTTTTGTTTTTAATCAATAGAGTTTAATTTTTTCCATTTCTTCTTTGAAGAGACTGGTCTTTCTTCCTTTTTCTTAGTTCCCACCCATCCCTACTATGTTCTTTTTTATTTTTTCCATCAGTATCTGTACTTTTTCTCCACTTTGCCCTTGATTTTTTTTTCAGTTACAGTTTTACCCTCTGCCTGAGATCAGCGTTGCCGTCCCCCAGTGGCCACGTCTCAGAAGTTTGCTTGGTTTTTGTCTTGATTTGTGTTCTGCGCGTGAAAACACCGAGGAGGTCTGGGGTTTCCTGCTCCTCATTTCTCTTCGGGTAGGAACACTCCACTTCTGTGTTCAATATGCGTCTTTTTAACAGAGAATAAGAGGCATCTGGCTCACGAATCCACCGTGAGTGCAACGTTCCCCTGCTGCAGAAAGGCTGTCAGTCACTGTTAAAACAGCACCAGTGTCGGGCACTGAATCCCGCCCCCCGCCTTGCCCAGTAATAATAGTAAATAATAAAAAACAGCACATGTTTTTTGCCTGGTAGGACCAGAAAAATGAAAGTGGGGTTTTATCTAGTGGGATTTTAAAATCAAGAAGGGAATGACTCACACTGTTAGTGGTTAAAGGCTAAGTGAGCCAAGATACAGTGTAACAGGGTCTGTTCCAGTGGAACACATCTCATGTTTTGTTTTATAAGAAATGCGAGTGATCGGAAGGGACTGGGAGGGGGAAAACCCGTCAGAGCCCTCGGGCGGAATTCGCGGGCCACACGTGACAAGCCCCGCAGTGCTGGGCGCGCCCTGCAGACACAGCCGCCCCGTTGCGGGGCCTGGAGCCTCCGCGAGCCCTCGAGGACGCTGGCCAAGGTCAGGGAGAAGTACTCCCCGGATGAGATGGTGCTTCTCTCACTCCAGGGTGGAAAAGGTCTCCAAAACACTGCATTTCTCCTGGCAGAAGGTCCAGCTGCAGAGTTCCTGGTTCAAGAAACAGGCTTAAAAAAACATACAAGGTGATCTCATTCTGCCACCCTGGGCTCATGAAGCAGACTCCGGTGTCCCACGGGTAGTCCGAAATTGTGTGCAAAGCTGTTTCTTGCCAGTGAACAGAATGCCCCTTCTCCGGGCGTTGGTGGAATAAAAGGTCGTTGAGGGGTCCTGGGTCATTACGATACAGTGCGCAGACAGCGAAGGGGCGTCTTCCCAGAGACCTGACTGAGGATTTGGTGCATTATTTTATTACAGCTTGTGGGGGCAGAGAGGGAGCTGGCAATGGTCCTGCCCTGGAGCCATGCATGCCCACAGGCAGGAAGTCACTGTGTTCCCGACCTGGGTCCTTGGGCCCCTTATTCCGTGGGAATGGATGAGGCCAGAGGAGGAGTTCAGGAGAGGCTTTGCTGGGACTTGTGCTGCAGCAGGGGGAGTGAGAGCAAGAAACAGGGGCCCTTGGGGGTGCTCGGGGAGGGAGGGGGTGAGCAGGACCCTTAAATGGGGTGAGGGCGGGGCGGGGCGGGCAGGAGGGGCGGCTCACCCCCTTGGTGGTGCCCTGTGCAGGGAGCACACCTGCCACCTGCTTTTGCTCAGAAGTGGCAGCTGCGTTTGGACTTTTTCTCTGTTGTTCATAACCTGCCCCAACTGTAGACACACGGGGTTAATTCTGGTCCTTTATCGTTTGTTTACGTCTGCTGCTGGACAAGAGGTTTGCCCGGGGGCAGGCGCTGCAGTAACAGGTCCCGGGTCCCAGCCTGTCTCAGCGGGAGCTCCCACAGGATCAGGGAGGGGCATCGTGGGTACCGTACGCAGTCGGTTACGGATGCCAGTGTGGTTACCGTACACACTTGATTGTGGATGCCAGGGTGGTTACTGTGTATACAGTCGGTTACAAACGCCAGCGTGGTTACCGTACACAGTCATGTGGATGCGTCGTGCTTACTGTATGCAGTCGGTAACTGATGCCAGTGTGGTTAATATAGAGTTGGTGTGGATGCCAAGTAATTACTGTATACAGTTGGTTACAGATGCCAGTGTGGTTACTGTGTGCAGACGGTTACGGATCCCGTGTGATTACTGTATACAGTTGGTTTCATATGCATGTGGTTAGTATATACAGTTGGTTGTGGGTGCCATGTGGTTAATGTGTATGCAGTTGGTTGTGGTTGCCAGTGTGGTTACTGTACACAGTCGGCTGTGGATGCACTGTGCTTACTGTATGCAGTTGGTTGTGGATGCATTGTGCTTACTGTATGCAGTCGGTTACCAATGCCAGTGTGGTTCATGTAGAGCTGGTGTGGACGCCAGTGTGGTTACTGTGTGCAGACGGTTACGGTGTGCATTTGGACACAGATGCCTGTTTGGTTACTGTATACAGTCGGTTATGAATGCTAGTGTGGTTAATTTGTATGCAGTCAGTTATGGATGCCAGTGTGTTTACTGTATGCAGTTGGGTGTGGATGCCACTGTGGTCACTGTACACAGTTGGCTCCAGATTCCATGTGGTTACTGCATACAGCCGGTTACAGATGCCAGTGTGATACTGTGCATACAGCCGGTTACAGATGCCAGTGTGATACTGTGCATACAGCCGGTTACAGATGCCAGTGTGATACTGTGCATACAGCC